TATATTAAAATCACTCTATGCATGTAGAAGTTTTGTTCTGGACAAGCATTTTTCAATGACCTTTAAGTGTGACCTTGACCTTTGCGCATGACTCTGCTTCTCATAGTGGTAAACATTTCTATGAAGTTCCATTAGAATCCCCCCTTATATTTCACACCTGTAGTCATGAAAATGACCATTTGTGTTTCAATCCCTCAATAAATGATGACTAAATGGTCCGAATACACATTTTCATCTGAACTTTGACCCCATGTGTGACCTTGACTTTGGCCACAGGGACCCAAATTTTGCAAGCGACACTGGCTATATATTTGTGCCATGTTCTATTGAAATCCCTCTATGCATGTAGAAGTTTTGCTCCAGACAAGCATTTTTCAATGACCTCTAAGTGTGACCTTGACCGTTGACTTAAGAGACCTGGTTCATGTGTGCGACACAGCTTCTCATAGTGTAGAACATTTCTATCAAGTTTCATTAAAATTCCTTAATGCATGTAGGAGATATGCTCGGGACTAAATTGTGGACGCCGCCCGCACGCCAAGTGGGAACCCATTTTTCAAACTGGCAAATAAATATAACAAAGGGCAATAACTCCAAAATCAGGGAAGGCAGAGTTATGGTTCTTTTGCATTGCACTTCTACCCAATGAGATCTATCTACCTTGGTATCTCTTACCAGGGAAAAAAAACCTTTCTTTGTAGAGGCCGAATATAGACTGCTTCCCCAACCAAACTAGCCTCTTTTTTCCCCTGTTTGGTCCTCAAAATTCCCCAGTCTTTTAAATTTTCCCATAGAATTTAGAACAAAATTAAATGGTGTTGAATTAAGGTCTTTTACTGCCTTTTACCACTCTACTAAATCTTAATTTTCTCTGGTTTTATTGCATCAATTCCTTTTAATTTTGGCAAAAAAAGGTTCTTTATGCTTCTTAAAATTAACTTTGTTAAATATAGATGTTATTTTCAAAAAAGGTTTTTTGGTTGTCTGCTACAAAATTCAATTTCCCTGTAACTGATAAACCCAAGTCCACTTTGAGGTCAGGACTTCTTGCAGCCAAAAAAATAACAATGACTCATTCAGCCACCAGGTGTATTATGTGCTATCTCTTACAGATGGCGGGAGTTTTAACAAGATGTTATATTTTTATCTTTCCATAAAATGGTCTCATGTGTTATGTTTTTCAAACAATACCAAAATTCCTGACTATTTCAATTCAAAAGTGTGTCTATAAGCTTCCTACACAATTAAACTAAAATGAATTCTGTATAAACCAACTCGTTATAATATTATCCTGCTGGTAAATTTCAGATTGTTGCTGCTGCCTTAACAACACTCAGTATTAAATTTTAAAAGTTAAATACTTGATGAGTATTCTTTTATAACACTATTTTATCCTTATTCACTGTATTCTTTTATAACACTATTTTATCCTTATTCACTGTGATTTATACTAAGTACTGTGTTATTGCATTCAACTGTTACACTGACAAGTCTTACTTTGATATTTGTATCATGACCATCAATATATCTTCTGAAATATATATTTTCCTTAATTATAATAAAAGAACAAGACTAGTAATAATTCCATGAAGTATTTAGAGATCTCCTGCACAAGTTGTTGCAAATGAATAGATAATTCCAGATGATGCAACTAATATGGTTAGAGCCATATAGTTCTTACCTTATAGTTAATTAGCTTTATTAGTGGTTAAGCAACTTGAAAGCTGAAGTGACTATATCTGTCATAGACTGGACATGACTATCAATGCACTCTAATATAATGACTTGACATTCAAAGCTATGCACAAAAGAAGACAAGCTATTAACAATAATCACATTTGACACACAAATGTACATATTTCCAGTTGTTTTTTTTGTTTTTCTAATTTTAACACTTTTTTCGTCTAAGTATGAATCATTTCCATTTTGTTCAATTTTACATCTGAAACTGTGCACATGGTCCAAATTTCATAGGTCAAGAAAGGTCACTTAATCATAGCTGTACATCAAAGGACAAGAATTTCAAAAGACAAGAAAGTAGGTCACTGTCAAATTATCTAGGTCAGCTGATATCACAGTTCAATTTTCCATCTGAAAATGTGCACATTGTTCAAATTTCAAAGCTGTACAGCAGACAAGAAAGTCACTTTGTAAAATTATTAAGTCAGCTAATTTTACATTTAAAACTGTGCAAATGGTCCAAATCTCCATGCTAAAGGAAATAATAAGAGAATTTCATTTATTTGACCGTAGTCAATGTCAATTTATTTAAAGTCAAGGTCACATCTAAATAAATCAATGTTTGTTTGGTAGCAAGTGTTCTTTTGCCTAGCACAAATACTATGTACAATAACCGTGAAGATTTACTTTGAAATCTCTCAATTCATGATGACTAAATGGTCAATACTCACATTATCATTTCATTTAGCTAACCTTGGTCAGCTGCATGTGACAATGACCTTAGTCAGACGGACGTAAACTTTCCATCCAGCACTTCTCGCAATTTACCATTATTGCCAAATAAATAACAATTCCTCAATGCATGTAAAAGTTTCACTGCCGACAAAGTGTTTTCCTGACCTTTAAATGTGACCTTGACCTTTGACAAAGGGACCTAGTTCAGTCTCAGGATGGTGGGTATTTGTGTCAAGTAATGCTACCATCCCTCCAGGTATCCCAAACAAAATCTGGAAATTTCATGTACTATCTAGTGACCTTTGCATATATTGATCTGAATGATGCAAGTATGATTGTTTTATGATTGTGAATATTTTTAATAAAAGATTATTGAGTATTCAATTGACACACATTTTTGTATTTTTACTCGAACTTTGGCATGCGACAATTAGCCTCACAATGTAATATTCAAATCCCCCCAATACTGTCTATAATTTTGTGTGATGTATATTTAAAGTATAGACATTCAAAACAGCAGTTGGGAAAAGCATCGACAGGTAAAAATCTGTTTCTCTACCTTTTTTACCTAATCTTGAATGCACAGCAAGCAGTTGTTATTAAAGGCAATTGAAATTTCTTTATAATGAATGCCTTTGCTTTGATAATGTTCGTATACTTACAGAGAAAGTAGTTTTAAATCAAAACAGTCTGATAAACTTTCTATCATTCAGACAGCTCGATTTGCTTATCACAAATGTTTTCATATATCAAAGGCCACTTTTAGATAGACTGTTATACTAACCATGTGGGACAGAAAATTTTTTTTATCATCTTGATGAAATCTAGTAAAAAAGTACTTTCAGTCCTGAAATTTGATTTTTTGACATATGAAATGCACAATTCGCTTTTAAGGAAATATGCAAACATATTTTCTGTCATACAGGTTATTATAAATTATTTGTTCTTTTAAATTCTAACAATATTTTTATAAACTATACAGCAGATAAATAGCTTTATATGCTTCAAACAACAAATTATTAATAATTAGTTTGTAAATGATTCCTGGTGCAGGGCTATTTTAAACACAGGGCAATCTTCAGCAATCTTGGTAAAAAGGTTGACAAGATGTTTTATGCCCAAAACCTTATTTTTATCCCTTTGGCTTTGAATAAATACATTAAAGGATAATCATCAACCCCCACCCCCATTCCATCAGGGGACAAATTTTAACCATACTTATCAATTTTACTTTTAGTACACATTACTTATACGATGTTCAATACCAAACTTCTAAGCTCTATAAGGAAAACGCATAACCCTTGTGGCAGGGCTAATGTAGACCCCTGGCCATGGGCCATAATTTCAACAACCTTGTAAGAGGTCCACTAGAAAATATTGCATGCCAAATATCTAAGTTCAGCCCTTGAGGTTCAAATGAAAAGATTTTTTTTTATGATTTTACAATATAAATTTAAAGAAAACTAGTAAGCCAGGGGAAGGGACAGCACGATTTAACAGGTTTAAGGTGGAGAAAATGCAAATTTATCAAGACCTTTTTCCAGTGCTGGCTACTTTTGAATACAATAACTTTGATAGTTTAAGAAAATGGATCTAAACAAAAAAGCAGGGCTTAACATCAATATCAATTTCCATGGGTCAAAAATTGGATGCAGGCTCTATAAAGCGACATAAGGCCCACACAAGTGTAAATGGTTAGTGCATAGGTAAAAGTAAAAATAACTTCATATTCTGCCATAATTGTATTCAATTTTATATTTTACTATGCAAATATTATAATCCATGTGACCCACATATGGTTTGGCAACCTTGAACGGTTCAATATCTATATTTCATCTTTTCAATATTTTTCAATATCAACTGCTGGTCAATCAGTATTATAACAGTCAATCTTTTGAATTATATATAGTCAATTCAGCTCAACTGACAATAACAAAATAAGCATAATGTTACAACAAAGTCAAGGGGTCCAATCATTGACTTTAGAAGTCCAACAATTACATGTAATTCAAGCCGTCTGATTCCTTCATAAACCTTGGTACTTACTGATTATAGTGTCTGGCAAAAACTTATGTACTGGAAGGTTTGTCTATGAAGGGTTTGTTAAGCATTATGTACAAACCCAGTATCATATCATAAAGGAAAGAAATGTGCATTCCAGGAGACATTTTAGGGATATATGGTAAATCCCTGCAAAAGGTTAACCAAAACCAAAAAATCATGACAGTAGTTCCACTTTTCTTCTTTAAAAAATGTAGCTATTAAAAAGCAAATTTTGACCAACAGGCATGAATTTTATAACCTTTGCAGCCAATATGTTTTGCTACATAATTATATGCTTTGGGCAGAAAAGTTAGAGAAATTGTATATCCTGATAATGCCATTACAAATTCCTCTTTACAGTAATGGAGCTACAAATTCCGAACAATTGACATTATCTATTTTAAAGCTCACATGAGCTTAAGTGTGCAAAAAAAACCTTGAAGGCCAGGTCTGATAAATGACCTTATTTTACTTTATACCCCTTTCAACTTTTGTTGTGTACTGGGCTATATAAAAATTTGAAAAGCATTATAAAGTTTACATTTCAGTTGACAATTTTATTCTATGTACAACAGCATTATTGACCTTTTCACATGATTTTACAATACAAAGAAAAAACTTCCATAAAATGACAATCTACAAAAATCACGGCATTTTTTTTTTATAACAAATGGAGCTTTACAGTTAATGACATTAAAAACAGTCTCTGGCAATAGTATGCATGCTAAAAATGGATATATTTGCTCTATAGAAAATAGAAGCTAAATTAAAACATGACAGACAGTAGTAAATGTTTGGTAACATTGATGCAATAGAATAGATTGATTTTACTGCATTAAAACACTATTAAAATCCGTATCATTTTTTTCTCTCTATATTCCTTCACTACATGAACTATATGAAATGTATCGTTTTGCTCCTTTTCTCTCTACATTAATTCACAGTTATAACTTTTATTTCACAATTCACAGAAATACAATAATCCAATATTTAAGATGCTCGCGGGTTCATGAAGCTAGGCCTATCCTGCTATCACCTATAATGTAATTGGGCCTAATTTCCTGCCTAACATTGAAGCCTACTTTCCTTCTTTCTAAGACTGTAGAATTTATTCTTGTCTGCCTATCATTGATGATCACCTACTATTGCCTATCAATTGAGGAAATAAAAATAGTTCTTAACAAAACAAGAAATACACAAAATGCAACAGACGTTAAGAAAATTTAATTTTAAATCTTAAATACAAATTTTTCTATTTTTCTTTAAATGTCATCATTTTCTTCTCTTTAATAAAAAAATAACTTTTTAAGCTCATATAAATGATGAAGGGGTACATGAAAAATGTAGATGATATAAAAGGCAACTAACCAGGAATGAATGATATGTGCCGAGATTCAAGACAGTTACCATCTACCTCCTCCTCCTCTACCATAACCTAAAATATGAAAACATAGTGCTCAAAATTCAACTATTTGTATGCAATTTCTTGGCATGTTGATATAATATAACTTATACAACCTTTGCAGTCTAAGCAAAATGCAATAGTTCTATTGCATAAACATTATTCTCAACCCTAATGTGGAATGTTCGTAGAAACACTGTACTTTATCACAAAAATTGTAACTGAACATTTCCAGATTGTTTAAGGCTGAAAATGATATTGAATGGACTAACATGCATTTCTTATTGTTTCAAAATTACTTTGTCAGAGTACTCCAACTGAGTAAGACTGATTGGCATTACTCTGTAAAAAGTTAACTCTGGTACGACTCCGACGCCCATCATGTAAGATAATCACAGAGAACAAGTGTGTGAAGTTTCAACCAATTCCCTACAGCAGTTTTGGAGATACCAACTTGCATGTACAAAAACTTCACAAAGTGTGACACTGACAAGGGCATGTGAAAAAGCTCTCCCTATTCTTCAAAAAGTCAAGCTAAAAATACAAATAAGTATCTTGGATGGAAGTCAAAATATTTGTGTTTTTTTCCAATTTTGTCAGCAATTTCATGGATAACATTCATGCAAAATTTGCACATTCTCAGTAGGCAAGGCTAAAAAGTGGTGTAACTTGTTACCATGATTATCACTTTTTCATTTAACAATTACTGAGCATTTTTTATAACAAGCATGCATATACATTGATATAACAAGTTTAACTTTTATTTGAATTACTTTATATTTCAATATCAAAATATTGGTTCTTTTAAATATATTATAAATTTGTACCTTGGCCATAAGGACCACCACCACTCCCCCGCTGTCCATAACCACCTGATCCTCTCATTGGTCCACCACCATAACCCTGATCACCATATCCTAAACAGACAAACTCAAATATAACTTCTGTTTAACAGTAGGTTATCAAAATGTTTTTTGAACCATGCCTTAACAATACTCAAATTTTCAATACAGGTTAAGTACCTTTTTAGATTATTTTAACTTTTCATTTGATCCTCCTCACTTCCCAACAAAAACACACTTCCCATTCCCCAAAATTGTATTGAAAAAAAGAGTTTATGGCTATTTATATTTGATCTCAACCCTTAAGTATATCTTTCAAAACAAAACAAAAATATGTAATAGTTAATTACAATTTGGAAACTAGAAGTATTGAATAACTTCATTAATGCAAAGAAAGTGTGTAAATGGATTTCAGGGCAAGATGTATAATGTAAGTAGCCATAAGCATTAAGATATTAAGCAGAAACTGGCTGAAAGAAATGAAAACATTGTTCCAACAGAGCAGCCTAGCTATTTCCGAAAAAGAGCAATTATCTGCAATATATTGGCCAAAATATAATGCAATTTAGTTTTGTCTTTATTTTTGTTGGCTGCACTGTAGCAACTTTTACAAGGTGATCAGGTTTACTTGTCATGTATCAAAGGTCAGAAGACACAGGTGTTAGGACTGTGAAATCGTATCAAAACCTACCTTGACCAAACCCTTGACCGTAATAGTCACCTCCACCAAACCCTGCAATAACACCAACAATAAAAGGACCTCTTTTTTGCTATACACAAGCAAGGTTCCACTACTCGTTCATTATTTTGAAGCAAACACAATAACTAAATATGAAAAGATCTTGGTACATGACTTATTGCCAATTTTCATAACTTCATAAACTAGCTTTATAACTTCTATGTTCGCTTTCATAAGTTTTTCTAATGTATAATCAACCATTAATTTGCATTTATAACCCAGACACTTAAATTTTTTTTTTTATTAAAAGGAGCAAAGGAAAACATCTTCAATATATAAAACTACATATTTCCATATCAAAACCACTTCACTATTATGGCTTGAACTTAATACAGTTCACAAACAAGAATAGATAACTTACCACCACCACCACCACCTCCACGGCCACCACCATAACCTCCTCTTCCACCACCTCTTCCTCCTAAAAGTAAATTTGTGATCATTCAAGACAAGTTACTACCCTACTAAAATCAACAAATAATTACCCTAATAACTACCTTAATAAAATGTATGTACATCCATAATATACATGCCTACTGAAACATTCTTTTCAGAAAGCTAAACAAGAGGACCACGCTAGGTCATAGTTCTTTAAAGCTGCATACCTACAGATGAGCCACAATATCTCAAGAAATCAAACTTGAGTAAAATGAACCAATACTTAAAGAAAAGTAAAAAGGTTCAAGATTCAAGTAATAATTAACATGTTATGTGCGATTAATGACTGTTTTTGCATTAATTATCCCTACATTTCTACTTTGTCTAACACAGAAAGGGCTATTTTTGCACTATTTGACCTCTTTTTGGTAATTTACTTGAATTGCAAAAGTTGCTTGCAATTTGTAAAATACATTCTTTTTTCACTTCACAATATTTCACCTTTACATACATTTCAAACAGTGCATGAGGCTTAGCATGAATCTGGAGGCATACTGCTTAAAGGTAAAGTAAGTCATTGAGTCACATTAGGGTTGGGGCATTCGATTAATTAACTTTAGCAAAGGTTTGTTAGGCAATGCTTAATGCTAAATTGCTTAAAGCATAATATTCTCTCTAGTCCATTTTTTATACAGACTTTAAAGGAACTCCCCTGAGGTTTTTTGACACAACGGGACTTAAAAATATTTTTCAAGATTTATGTTCCAACTGATTAAACCATTTACTTATGTGCAAAATTTCTGATCAGGCCTAAAAAAAAAAATTGTTTTGTTCGGGTCACCCGACCCTACCTAATAATATGCGCCGACCCTACCGTTTTTTTTCGTGTCCAAAAAAAAAAAAAAAAAATCCATGAAAATACCGTATTATTGAGGTACTCAATGAGCAGGGTGAAGGGCAATTCAGGCGAAAATTTCGCTGTGTATATTTCCATTTCGCTCTCCCAATTGATCAAAGAGAAGTCAACATCGCCGATAAAATCTTAATTCCCAAACAGTAATTACTTGCCGATGTAAAGAGCAGAGATTGTATCCGCCCATATGACGACTGCTAATTATCATTATCCAATCAGAGCATCGCTATGTACTACCCTTCTACATGTATGCAAAGCGATAGACCGCCTACTCTAAACAGTAAATAATGAGAGCATCGACCCGAAACGGGTATATTTTGCGAGTTTAATACGGGATTTGGCGATAATTATAGATTATTTTTTTCCGATCATCTAAACACGTGCAAATCTTCCATAATTGATATACACGCGGTGTTTAACCGAAGTAAAGGCGATGTGCAATGGGTTTTTCACGGCTATCACAAAACTGTTAGTCAGTTAAAAATAATTAATTTCATTTGGATGATTTCAGTCCGTTAACATCAATTAAAAATTGTTATGTCGCTCACGTCATGGCTTGGAGTGAAATGCCCAAACCTAGCAGTAAAAAAAAAGTTACTGATTCTGATACACCTAATACACGCGAAAATTTAAGAAAGCCAATTCGCAAAAATCTTATGATTGGTATGTTGTAGACAGTGAGAGTGTTTTGCATTGTTATCTTTGTAGAAATGCCAAATTTGACACAGCTTGTACGCACGTGGGCACGACTTCCTAAAACTACGAATCATGATCGGCATGCGACATATCGGTCGTATATCATGTGCTCATGTATATAACAACAAAATTTGTCAGGAAAGAAGTGTTCTTATTGTTTCAATATATATATTTGTTTTAATGTCATAAATATGACGCTCAGATTAAGATTTATTAATATTGTAAATTTCAAAAAGCATTATTTATAAAGATATTACCGAGTTTAACATTTCATGAAAATAAAGGGAGGTAATTAGAAATTTATTTTCTATAATTTCTCAGTCGAATTTTTCAATAAGAAATGAATGTATATAATTTTAGTGATCAAATATAATGTGCACAAATGTTTGCAGTACATATTTTACATATTCTTCGATATTTGAAAATTGTTTTATAAGCATAATTATATGCACATAAATCTGACATTACAACATAGTAGATCATAAAAGAAATTTCTGTAAACAGAACATAGACAGATTTTATTAATCATTATCCAATGTAACTGTATCTTCTGTTAAAAGTGAGGAAAGTAAAAATATAAAGTTAATTTATTCATCATAGTTTTCTTACACATTATTATCAAAAATATATGGGAAAGCTTATAAATAGCTGATAAATAGATTGTGTTTCTATTCTAGTTAAAGGATGTATAGTCATGCATGTTAATGCATACACATTGGGATGTTTCCCTTCTGCCGATTTTTCACAAGGAAGTCACTTTTCCCTAAAATTTCCCTCCAGGATGAGCCCTGGGTACGGTACAGGTTTTATCGCCGCTCTTAGTTACAAAATGGCGGATCACATCGTCAATATTTGTAAAACGGCGTGTGATCTTCACCAGAAGAACGCTGAGAGTTTAAGATTGTTACACCTGAAATGTCTTTTGAAAACATAGAAGGGATGTATTTGTGCCACCCGGGAGGGATGTCAGAAATTTCCATATCTAAATTTCAATATACTGGTGAAAAAAAAAAAAAAAAAAAAAATCCGACCTACCCTACCTCCTTGAGAGCATGTTACCCTAACAAAACAATTTTTTTTTTTAGGCCTCATTGGCTCACTCCCTTTTCCAGAATAATTGTTCCAATTGTGGACAAGAGCATTGCATGCAGTGTTTACGCTCGTCTGTCAAGAATTTTTAGTCAACAGGTGCATAACTCCAAAAATATTGCTTTCAGAGTAATGCCCCTTATCTAACAATTGCTTCTTGTCGCAAAAAGGAAATATTCCAAATTTCATGTCGAAAACCTTTGAAATGTTTAAGTGATGGGTAACATTAAAGGTTTTGCAACAAGATGTTGAAGACACAATAGCATGAAACAGACAAGCTAAATATGACCAAAAATAGAAAAAACCTTCCAATACTTTTCACTCAAATAGGGCCAAAAGAAGCACAAAAATACAATTTTTAACTAATTTTTGCTTTGTTAACTTCTGCTTATCTGTTGAAGTACCCCAGATGATCCAAGTCCACCAATCTGCAAGGTGACTAAACAACTAAGCTCAATTCTAATGGTTCAATTATTGTGTCTTCCAAGCTTTTTTCTGACCATTTTTGATGACTGATATTGGGTCAATTCTTGGGGTCGGGCCATGTACCAAAACAAGAAGCGCCGCAATGCGACGAAAACCAGGTTTTCAACGACCAAATTTTGATGTGACAGCAATCAATAGGTCAAAGTACACTGAAGTTATTGAGTAGAAGCTGAAAATTCTATTGTAAGCAAATGACCTTGAACTTGCTCCCAGATTTCTAAGTAGCAATCCAAAGCTGCCACTCAGCAAGTTTATTGTCAAAAGGTCAAAGCAAACTCAAGTTATAACATGAAAACTAAATACATTAACCTTGATCACAGACACCTGGGTAGCAATCCCAAGCTGCCTCTTGATATAAGCTACCCATTCATCAAGTTTGGTGTCAAAAGGCCAAAGCAAACTAAAGTTATTTAGTGGAAACTGAATTTCTATTTTTAATAACAGTGACCTTGACCTTAATCACAGACACCTGGATAGCAATCCCAAGCTGCCTCTTGATATAAGCTATCCATACACCAAGTTTGGTGTCAGTACGCCAAAGCAAACTCAAGTTATTGAGCAGAAACTGAATTTCTATTTTTAGTAACAGTGACCTTGACCTTGATAACAGACACCTGGGTAGCAATCCCAAGCTGCCTCTTGATATAAGCTATCCATACACCAAGTTAGGTGTCAATAGGCCAAAGCAAACTCAAGTTATAGAGCGGAAACTGAATTTCTATTTTTAGTAACAGTGACCTTGACCTTGATCACAGACACCTGGGTAGCAATCCCAAGCTGCCTCTTGATATAAGCTATCCATACACCAAGTTAGGTATCAATAGGCTAAAGCAAACTCAAGTTATTGAGCGGAAACTGAATTTCTATTTTTAGTAACAGTGACCTTGACCTTGATCACAGACACCTGGATAGCAATCCCATGCTGCCTCTTGATATAAGTTATCCATACACCAAGTTTGGTGTCAATAGGCCAAAGCAAACTCCAGTTATTAAGCAGAAACTGAATTTCTATTTTTAGTAACAGTGACCTTGACCTTGATCACAGACACCTGGGTAGCAATCCCAAGCTGCCTCTTGATATAAGCTATCCATACACCAAGTTTGGTGTCAATAGGCCAAAGCAAACTCAAGTTATTGAGCAGAAACTGAATTTCTATTTTAGTAACAGTGACCTTGACCTTGATCACAGACACCTGGGTAGCAATCCCAAGCTGCCTCTTGATATAAGCTATCCATACACCAAGTTTGGTGTCAATAGGCCAAAGCAAACTCAAGTTATTGAGCGGAAACTGAATTTCTATTTTTAGTAACAGTGACCTTGACCTTGATCACAGACACCTGGGTAGCAATCCCAAGCTGCCTCTTGATATAAGCTATCCATACACCAAGTTTGGTGTCAATAGGCCAAAGCAAACTCAAGTTATTGAGTGGAAACTGAATTTCTATTTTTAGTAACAATGACCTTGACCTTGATCACAGACACCTCGGTAGCAATCCAAAGCTGCCTGTTGATATAAGCTATCCATACACCAAATTTGGTGTCAATAGGCCAAAGCAAACTAAAGTAATTGAGCGGAAACCAAAAGTTGACGCCCGCCCGCCCGTCGACTTCGGCATTACAATAACCCGGTTTTCGTTGAAAACCTGGTTAAAAACACTTCGGCTGCATGAACTTGGAAGTTAATAAGGGATTGTTTTGTAAATAAGATACTTTTTAAAAACATACCTCGGCCACCACCACCACCTCCCTTTTCTTCTGCTTTCTTTACTTGCACATTGTGGTTATTTATTACAAATTCGTGTTTTACTGTAAAGGAACAAAAATCCAAGTGAAGGTATTCAAGTTATTACTCTTTTTTTCTCTCTCCAGAAACACTCAAATATGTAAATATATACAAGATGCCAATTCTGCACATCAATGGATATCTATAAATTATATAAGTATATTTACTCTCAGTGATTTTCCTACCTATATAACAGACTCCGATAAAAGGCCTCTTCCCAATTGAAATTTTCTTTCTATCATGCAGTTTTCCCAAAATCTGAACTTAAACCTGCTTTTTACTTCCCAAATTAGCAATTTTAGAGATAATTTTCCCCAAAATCAACTGGCTAAAGCCTCTTCCCAATTAAGTGAGAAAAAAATTGTGTTCGTAGACACCAGATTGGTGCCATATAGCCGAAACCTCTCAAAAAGATGGCTATTATTCAGTTATACATTTATTGGATATTTCCAATATGGCACTGCATCAATTGTATTTGTGATAGTTACTATTAGTCTTTAAAGCCAACATATCAACTGTAGCATTTGTGTTAATGAAAATTACTGAAATGAACAATGTGAACTACTATTAAAAAATGTACTATTATTTCATTAAGTGTTAAAATGAATTGAAATAATACTTACAGACACATTTGTCTACAGTGTCTGTATCTTCAAATGTGATGAAACAAAATGGTTTTTGTTTTCCTGTATTTTTGTCAGTGACCATGTTTACTTGTTCAATATTGCCTTCTTGTCCAAAAATATCCCGGACATCACTCTCAGAATCTTCTTCTTTAATTCCCCCAACAAACAACTTTTTTGTAGATTCTGAAGACTCTGCCTGACCATCATCCTAAAATATTTATTAGGTTTTTGTGAACTAACACAGGTGGCTGTTGGCCAAAATGACTCAAATTAAACTTGTACATACTAAGTTTGATCACATACACTAATCATTCCACAAACTAAAACAAACTCAAAATCACTTTCAAAACAAAGGAAAGTTTTTTCTGCAAAAGATTGTCAGAATTTATCTGCAGACTTCAATTTTCACAGAGACATTTTATATCCCATGTCCCAACAAGGATTAAGGGCTCTAATTACCTTTTTAGCCAAGAGCCCACGGGTAGAAGAGCATTTCTTTGAGGAAACGGGAACTTTGTCAACAGCAATGCTCATGATGTATCTTTTATATGTGTGCAAGAAATGCATTTCAATATACTGTTTTTGACATTTTTAACATTTAGGAAAATTATATCAGGGTTGCCAGCACTTTGGTGAAATAAAATTCCCTGACTTTTCCCTGACTTTTCACTGACCAATTCATGTTTTTCACTGACCAAAATCGTCAAACACATAAACAGCCTCCTGACCTCCCCTATAGCCGTCCAATCCTCCCATTATATTTTAGCATGTAAACTTGTATTTATTTTCCAAAATATAAAACATTTACATCAAAGTAATGATTCAAACATTGTGTTCTACTATTCTTAACTATTTCTTTTCAAACACAGTGTGACTGTTGGTCAGTGAAACATGTAAAACATATGACATGAAAATCAGAAGAATCATAATATAAGCATCTGTATTAGAAATCACATAAGTCACTCTTTCCTTCCTAGTAGTAACACATAAAACACCAAGACTATAAGAGTAATACTTGTATGACAAAACTTAAAATTCAAACATCTCTAAACTATAAGAACAATAAACATTTCACACAGTTACTTGTATAAGGCATCATGATAAACTCCACTGATTGTGAAAACAATAACATAGGGCTCATTTTGGCATATCATGAAATAATCACTATAAAATTAAAGACTTTGAATGAGTGAAGTAAGTTAGTGTGAAAAAAAGTTAGTGTGAAAAACATAGCATTGCATAATTTAACCAGTTTCCATCATGTTTGCAAGACAAATCCTCTTGTACAATTTCTTAGTGTCAAAGCAAAAAGCAAAGCAGGTTATATGCCAATATGGTAGTTTGGTATACATGTATACTGACTAGATTTTGTTAGTAATTAAAAGCCCTTCTAGTGATCATGCACAGAAATAGCTAGACCAATACAGAATACAGTGTACTGACTAGATATTGCTAGTAAGTCTTTAGGCTGAATGATATTCTAAGGTAAATAATGGGTATTATAATCACTAAGTTAACATATAATGCTTCTTAATATCACAGTTTACTGTTATTTGAATTTAATGCTTAACTGTGAGAGTTATAAAGTCAAATATAAAATGCCTAAAGACTGCCATAGCCAAGAAAGACCTTCAATGCGTATATTTTTCGACCTTTGAAATAATTTTTCCCTGACTTTTCACTGACTTTTCAGGATTGTCATTTTTCACTGACCAAATTTCAAAATTCCCTGACAATTCCCTGACCTTGAAAAAATACCCAATTTCCCTGACTTTTCAAGTCCGCTGGCAACCCTGTATATATTACTATCAGAACCTGATTATATTGTGTTGCGAATTTGGATCCCTACTGGAGCATTAGGCTACAAGTGAATTAACAAAATCTAAAAGATTACCCCTCTTGGCATTGCTCGTTTTGACTCAACTTCTCTCCCATCAATATGGTGTGGTCTGTTTTCCTGCGCATCTTCTACACTTTTTGATTCACTGTATGTTACAAAACCAAATCCTCGAGATCTGTAACATTAAAAATTACCAATACTAAAATACCACATCTCTAGCAGAAATAGGAGCATTAAGTAAATCATTAATGGAGGCCCCATATAAACTACCATCATTGAATAGAAACAATAAAATTTGTTGAATTGACAACCCTTATAAAAAATAAGTACACAGGTCTCCTTAAATACTGTTTCCAATGTCACAAAATACACCTGTCAAAATACTATAAGTGTCCTAGATTTTTGTATAAATATGCTGTTGGCAATTTTCTTCTCTAATAAATGTGGCCTTGTCCTACTGACAAAGTTTCTAGTACTTCATCAAATATTGATGAACATTTGTATCAAGCAATACTGAAATCATTCCATTCACGTTGAAGATAAGCTTCTTAGAAGATAAGGACTTTTCATCATCTGAAGTGACCTTAACTTTGTGCAAATGGCCTTGGATTATGCATGAAATGCTTGGTCTCATGATGGTGAACATTTATGTGAGAATCTCTTTTTCATAGACACATTTTCATATCTCTTTCTGACCTCTATATTTGACCTTGATCTTCGTTCAAAATGACCTGAATTATGAACATGACAATGCCACACATTTGTGCCTAGTTATACTAAAATATTCCCATGCATGTAAGAGGCCCCAGACCAAGTCTGGACATCATCTCTAGACTCTACTGACCCTGACCTTGCATACATTTCCCCGATCCATGTCTTGTCCTTAACATGTCAGATCAATACTGCAAATTTATGATGATAAATATATCTATAGACACACAATTATTTGACCTTGATGTCTTTTTGACCTTGTTCTTGTCTAAAGGGACCTACATGAATTAAGTATGCAACACATAAATAAACATGTTATTTTAAAATACCTCAATGCATATAGACATTTTGCTGCAGACAAGCATTTTCCCGATGTGCGACTTTGACCCAGAATTATCATATTTGCCATATGTTGTAGGTTACACCATAATATCCATCCTCATGGTTAATGAGCTAAAGTTGTAATTATGGTAAACATAGATCAACAATGTCTGACCGTAACAAGCAAGTTATGAATAATCCATGGACACCAAATGCCTACCTTTTACTTTGTGGGTCTTTCATGACAACAACATCTACAACCTCTCCCCATTGTTCAAAATGTGTCTTTAAACTCTCTTCTGTTGTTTCATAACTAAGACCACCAATGAACAGCTTCCTGAATGGTTTTGATTCTGGTTTCTTCCAGTATTCACCATCTCCGCGACCACTTCCCATTACACCACCCGCGTCCACGCCCCTTCCTCCACCACCTCTTCTCGTCCCCACCCCTAATGTAAGAATATATTTCATAGCATTAACAGAATGAGGGGTATGCATCAAGATAGATTATTTTCATTCACATGTTGAAATTTATGTCAAGTTTGTTTTTCTTACACAAATTGCAACATTTTGGTCACATTTCAGTAACCTAAAAGCTACCAAAATGGATTTTGCATACCAAGACATTGTACATATTGGTTATGATTCATCAAAATTCATCATAGAAAAAAAATGTTTAAACACTACTTTTATGTAACATGCAAACATAAACACTGCTTTTATCTACCAGTCCACCATGAATGAGACATAAAAATTTATAGCTTAATGAACAGTCATTCTTACCTCCATATCCACCACCATAGCGCCACCACCACCACCACCACTGCCATAGCCACCACCATATCCACTTTGATCATAGCCACCTCCATATCCGTAACTACCATCATCATACCCACCACCTCCACCACCACCACTGTATCCATTATACTGGAAATAATGAAAAATTTAGGGGGTCTTAATTCTGGGGTGGTTTAATGTACATTCAATGTAATCAATTATCAATCAATTACTCTCTTAAAAGTAATTGTAATTCAATTGATTACAGAGGCAAATGTGAGTAATCAATCTTAATCAATTACAATAAAATCTGAAAGTAATTGTAATTTAATCAATTACTGATCAATGTAATCATCCCCAGGTCTGAATGCATATAGACATTTTGCTGCAGACAAGCATTTTCCCGATGTGTGACTTTGACCCAGAATTATCATATTTGCCATATGTTGTAGGTTACACAATAATATCCATCCTCATGGTTAATGAGCTAAAGTTGTAATTATGGTAAACATAGATCAACAATGTCTGACCGTAACAAGCAAGTTATGAATAATCCATGGACACCAAATGCCTACCTTTTACTTTGTGGGTCTTTCATGACAACAACATCTACAACCTCTCCCCATTGTTCAAAATGAGTCTTTAAACTCTCTTCTGTTGTTTCATAACTAAGACCACCAATGAACAGCTTCCTGAATGGTTTTGATTCTGGTTTCTTCCAGTATTCACCATCTCCGCGACCACTTCCCATTACACCACCGCGTCCACGGCCCCTTCCTCCACCACCTCTTCCTCGTCCTCCACCCCCTAATGTAAGAATATATTCATAGCATTAACAGAATGAGGGGGTATGCATCAAGATAGATTATTTTCATTCACATGTTGAATTTATGTCAAGTTTGTTTTCTTACACAAATTGCAACATTTTTGGTCACATTTCAGTAACCTAAAAGCTACCAAAATTGGATTTTGCATACCAAGACATTGTACATATTGGTTATGATATCAAAATTCATCATAGAAAAAAATGTTAAAACACTACTTTTATGTAACATGCAAACATAAACACTGCTTTTTATCTACCAGTCCACCATGAATGAGACATAAAAATTTATAGCTTAATTGAACAGTCATTCTTACCTCCATATCCACCACCATAGCCGCCACCACCACCACCACCACTGCCATAGCCACCACCATATCCACTTTGATCATAGCCACCTCCATATCCGTAACTACCATCATCATACCCACCTCCACCACCACCACTGTATCCATTATACTGGAAATAATGAAAATTTACAGGTATAAGCATATTACTTTGAAAGTAACTAATGACACAGACACTTAATATTTTTGGATAAAATAATCGATTCTGAACTGTAGACCAAGTGTCATACCATCCCTGACAAGACTCAGTTATGACATCAAATTTTCATAAAGGGATCAAGTGATCCAATTACATAAAGTAACCTTTGTAGTTGTCAAATTATACATACTGAAGTTCCTTCTTTTAATTGATGCAGGGCCCTCCTAACTAGGTAGCGATAACTCAGTTGGTTAGACCACTGGCTGTCACTCCTGAGGTCCCGGTTCAATCCTGGGTAACACCCTTGGGATTTTTTACAGACACTTTTGGTGTTTCCCACCTAACTAGAGGTGTACTGGAAAGAAATGCAGGTTATCCTCGCATGTATCAGTGCTATACACTGGGCAGGTAAAAGAACCAAGTGGTCTTTTCAATAAGAGCTAGGGATTCCCTTGTATCTCATAGCTTTCTCTAAAGTGGCTAGTTTTGAATCATGTCTATGTCCCCGCAAACGGTTTGACATTAATGGAAGATAGATCGATAGCAAGACTAAGTCGCCTAAAGTTTCTACATATCACAATAGTTTGAACATCCAACAGCACATGACAATAAAACTAAATCCTTCTTGGTAAATGTAAACTTGATTGGTGATATGTAGTCCCTGCCAATACAAAACATGATCATAAATCAATCAACACCCATTTCAGTGGGTTTTTTAGGGTCAACTGGGCCCCAATACGAATCCGGGTCAGCTCGGCCCCCGAGTCAGCTCGGCACGGGTCAACTCGGCCCACTTTTAAAAATGGGTAAAAGACATCAAAGGACTCCTATTGTCACGGGCTATTATTATCAATCAATGTGTATGTTAAGGATACAGTACCGATTAATTAGGAGATAATTATGATTGACTCATTCATTCAAATTTGATAAGTGACCACCTGCAATTAATTAGAAGCTTATGCTATAAAGTAAACATGTTTTTGTTTCATGTTTTTGAAAATTACTGTACAAACAAAATGCATCAAAGGAAACACATTTTTATTATATCTTTATTCACAGGCACAAGAAGTATCAGACCTGGGAAGAAAAAATATGAAGTTATTTTATCTGTTCATATTTTTTCTTCCCAGGTCTGATAATCGTGCCTGTGTCTATATTAATTTTATCGAATCTGCAAGACAAATAAATAACTTTTTTTCTAAATATACTTTATTTCGGCAGTGGTACAATGTATAATAATAATAAGATATTTGTTATTATTCATTTACCTTAACAACATGCAAAGCAAAGTAAATATGTTATAGGCCTATATATTTTTGTAAAGTGGGCCGAGTTGACCCGGCCGTGCCGAGTTGGTAGAGGGCAGAGTTCAGGGCTACAGATAACATTTTGTGTATATTGGGTAATTACCCCTTATTTTGTGATCTATTGGGTTTTTTCTATTTTCTTTGAGTTATTTCTGTATTTTTTACCCTACCCCCTCTAACCAATTTGGGTTATAAAGTACAAGTTCATGCATTTTACCCAAAATTTTTGACCTTCATTGTAGACATTTGTAGGTTTTGTACGGTAACAAAAAAGCTACTTACTACTTTGCTTTATGGTTTATCGGCCTAGGAGATTTCCAAGTTGCCTTATATAATTTAAAGGTTAAAACAGTCTGAAACAGTATGATCTGCCTGATGTACGCGTTAAGTAATAATTTTCGTCTTACGCACCAGTTCAAATGTAGTTTGTATAAATAAGAATTCATTTACTTTTTCTTACCCTTAGTTATTATTTCTATTGGGTTTTTAGACATTTTAATTGGGTAATAACGCAAATACGCATGTTATCTGCAGCCCTGAGAGTTGACTCTTTTCCCCCCAATACTAACCCAGGGTTCCCGCTGTCGCTCGCCTATGGCGCCAAATGCGACAAAATATTAATTCTGGCGCATAAAATCTTTAATTGGCGAATTTTACTGGCGCCAACGTAAGATAAAAGCATCCGACAACTAGTACACTTAAATGTCATAAGCGGCCGCGTCAATTACATAAGCGGCCCAAATGTGAAAGGTCACGCGCTATTAGTTTGTTTATCGGTACCGTATAATCAATTATGTCATCAATTGTGTGACACTTTGGGAACATGTGAAGATGAGAGTGGTAATTTGTTAATTGGAACAATTTACGCTGATAATTACATGTGTGGTCAACAGGTGTTAGTTACTTAGTAGCGAACAGAGAAGTGAAAGATCGTCCGTGATGTTGACAAACCTTAAACTTTAGGTAAGTTGACTCAAATAATTACAGTTTGAATATTAAATCGGATGACAATTAAAAGAATAATTTCACTAATGATTGATCTAAAGCCACTGTTACTGCAATGTTAATATTTTCATTTCTGATTGTAAAGGGCTGAAGTGTCTATTCATATGCAAACCCTATTAAAATAAACAATATTTTTCATTGTTAAAAATACTTAGTATCTATTTCATATTTTGTTCTCATTGATTTTTAGATGAAGTCAATTTATAGTAATGTTTTGTTTTTTTAATTTTGTATCTGTAGATCACCAGATTGTCGTGTAGAAGCTGTGAAAGATCTTGGCTCAGTCCAGCCTGTGAGAAGAACTGCTATACTGGCAAAACGGTGGAAAACAGGATGACTAACTTAACATGATGTTCTTGATTACATTTATGCTGTTATGTGTATTTATTTAAATAGAATTTGAAAACCACATAATAGTATGTCTATATTTTAGATAATAAACATGTGCAGCTGTAATAAAATGAAATATTATAAATATGTGTTTGTAATCATAATGATATATAACTGCTAGCATATCTTAGCAAAGATAGGCATGTCTCCCTTGCAGAATTATTGGCTCCAACTTTGGAGCCATTGGCTCCAACTTTTTCTGATTGGCGAATTTGGTGGCGCAAACTAATTTTGACCCAGAGGGAACCCTGCTAACCTTCCTCAAATTATGTAAAATTCACTGCCGCTATAACCTAGATTACATATCATGTATATATAGTAGACTCATAACGTATTTGTTGTATACTACTGCGTAAAATATAGGCAGTGTAAAACATTGTGGTCCATTCCACGAGAATGCCGTCAATGCATTAAAATGACAATATACAGATCCATAGGACATGTTGTTCCCAAAAGCAATAAACATTTGTATGTCCTAGATGAAATGCATGGTCACTGAAATGACTCGGTGCCTATATAGTTTAATGCTCAACTGACCCGGATTTACATAAATTGGTGTTCTTTGTTCGACATGAGCACCGCCATTTTGACGGGCGAATAAATTATCCGACAACGTGCAACCGATCTAACTGAATTTATTTCTAATCATAATTTTCGCAACATGATTTGGTTCGATGAATTCATCTTTACGGTTTAATTTTATAACTGGCATTTTTAATAAACTTTAAATATCGAATGGAAACTTGTAACTTACTCCGTAATCCATAATGCTGTTTCTTGAGCTTCACCGGCAAAGAGGGAACATGTGGTGTGGTGACGCTTAAATCAGACCAATCAATGGCAAAAGAAAAAGAAAACTTTTGATTGGTTCGTTTGTGCCACTCCAAAGGCAATCGCAAACTTTCGGCTCTTTCCGGGAATTTCCGGAAAAGCCCATCGGCGTAAAATTATTGATGTTTAATGACGTCTATAATTATTATTATAATTTACTTTAATAAAAATGTACTATATCTGTATCTGTTCAGGTACGTAGAAGAACCACTATTAGAAATAAAGATAATTTATAATAGATCTAGAAAAGAAATCTTTGTTTTATTCACATGATTCATTACAGCACGGATTTATATGTAATATAAATCCGTGATTTTAGTCGGAAGTTGGAGCTATTAAATATAATCTATAATGATTATATATCTGTGATTCTTATAAATGAAATATTGAGAAATGTTGATAAAATAAAATGCATATTTTCATTTTCCGTATTTTCACTGTAAAAAATATTTTCACTGCATTTTTAAAATTAAAGTAGAAGTCTTAAGAATTGTAAAGGTACGTCAAATACAAGTGATATTTATTGAAGTAAAGTATAGGAGAAGCTTACAAGCCATCTTGGCTTAAATGCTCAGAAGAAGAATAAGAAGGTAAAAGTAAAAAGAAAAAGTACATATTGAACAGAAAATTCAATTTTTTTTTAAATAGATCTACAAGATTTATTTTCATCTTGTGATATGAAAATCATCATATTTCATACCACTCGGTGAAAATAAATTCTTTATTTGATTATTTGAATATCCTCTATATATTGGATGGGAATTACTGTAAAAATTAGGGAAGATGAATGTAATCCCCATAATATTCGCTTTCGAAAAATCACGGATTTATATTACAAGGATCGGACACTATCGTTTAGCTTAAAATCTCGTCGCGCGCATGCGCGGAATCGCACATCGGATAAGGTGGACAGAACGAGAGATGGCGGAACGCACGGAGAGCGAAATATGACAGATTTTCACAAGAGTATGTGGTGTTATTGCAGCTTTGTGAAAAATTATACACATATGAATGTATTGATATAGTATTTTTTGTGCCGCTAAAGTATTTATATATGAAAATATGCCGATAGAACGCTGCAACGCTGAGTTAAAAAGTACCTAATTAAAAAAAAATTAGCCTATTGTTTAGGCATACTCTCTACACTTTGACGCCCTTTTACTTCAAGCACAAATTATTACCGCGATTCAGATTTAGATAATTATTTTTGAAAAGGTTTAATGGTTGCATTGCAAAAAATGTTTCTTGATTGCTTAAAAACTTTTAAAGAAATTCATGTTTGAAATTTATCTTTATTTCTGTGAATTATTTCCAAATGATTTGTACATTTGTACATTTTTTATTTGATTACCTGAATGTTAGTATAAATATAGTAAATATTCTACTGATTTGTCTTTTAAATATATTTTCAGATCATTCAAGACAAGCGTTCATATATAGATAATTTCATTAAATTGGCAAGGAAGAAACTTTTATTGGCATACAGAACAGCTGTTTTATAATGTTGTTTTTTTTTTTTTATTTTGAAACAGATTTGTTTCATAGTTATCCTTCACAATTCACGTCAAATGATTTATTTGTCATATATTTATTTTCATTATTTTTCAAAGATAGGACTATACAAATTTAGTTGTATATTTTCAATTTCATTTATAAATGTTATTAATAGAAAATACATTGTATTTATATATATCCTCTTCAGAATCATTTTCTTATAACACATACCATGGACTGTAGTTAAAGACCACGCACATACAAAATATACATTCAAATTCTATTTGTTTTTTGAAGATTGAGTGTTGCAATTATCACATGTAACCTGGTTATGAAAGTTTGAAAATAAAGTTTTTTAATTATCACTTGTTACCTGGTAATTTACTCCCTTCAAAAGTAATTAAACTTCAAAGAAATTTAAGCGATGTTTAAAAAATAACCAACAGTTACTTTTATTTCGCACAATACTGACTCAAACTGTAAAGCTTTTTATTGTTTTCTAGCATTACATTAAAAAATATCAGAAATATCTTTACATTAAAAAATATCAGAAATATCTTTCTACACGGGGGAGGAAGTGTTACACGAAGGATGGAGTTCTTGTGATAACTTGTTCAGGAGTTCTTGTGATAACTGTCACGGAGTTCGTCGGAAAACATCTGTATATACTACAAAAACACTCGTCAAAAATGGTTATTTTCATCGTTCAAAAATGAGTGTAGGTGCTAAATTAAACTTCAATGATTAAGCTTGTCTTACATCTTGTATTATGTGTCAAAAACTAATTCACAGGCTATTTTTCATCGCCCCTTGCTTCAAATCTGGTAGTTTTGAGTAAAATTTCCAAATTATTTGCCAATTCACAAGTTTTGACCGGTATATCTCTGGTCTTCATCCTTGCCATACATAATTACCTAATTATAGTGCAAAATTGCAAACATAAAGCACCGGCTAACAGATTTATACCAGATTTTTCAAATGCCCCGGAGTTCTTGTGATAACTCTGAAGATGTCACAGAGTTCTTATGATAACTTTTGTTTCTTGTTCAAGTTATCATAAGAACTCCATCCTTCGTGTAACACTTCCTCCCCCGTGTTCTACAGGCATTCGAATAAAAAGAATAATTAAAATATACGAGTGACATTAAAAAGGCCGGAATCGAGACAGCCACACGAGAGTACTTTAATGTTACGATGATTGTCTAGTTCAATTCACCGACATTTGAAAACAGATTTACAAAATAATAATAATGATACGAATGATGAAGGAAATTTAATTATTCTATGAATATGGCAATATTGACAATATCAGCAATATTTTGTACAAAAAAAACGAATAAATTTACTTCACGTGTTGAGCGAATTGTAAAGCCAGCAATACATTACCCGTAAAACAATTGTGCGTCAATAAATTTGACTACATAACGGAATAAATCTTAAATATTGCATCTTTGATCATCTGTGAATAACTCACATCAGCTTCTTTTTATTTTGAAATTGAATTTATTATGTTACCGTTATAATAAATGTAAAATATCTGCTTTTTATATAAAAAATGTAAATTTACCGCGGATTTCGTCAAGTTAATTTTTTAATCGTCGTTGCGGACTGATAGTCTGTATCTTTAAAAAATAAATTAGATATTTGAATTAAACAAGTATTTTCCTTCAAAATAAACTTTTAATTTCCCAAATCGGATAATAAATGGAAAAGCTAATATAAATCCGTGGTGAAATATGGAATATATTGTAGCAATTAAGTATAGGATAAATTATCCGTTAAAAAAATTAAGACTTGTACGTAGGATTTCTTATTTCTGATGGAATACGTACGCTGTTCCAGATCTCCATGTTATATAGTTATATATTAACCTGTTACCCCATGAGCATATTGCGAACTAGAACTGTATCCAAAGGACACGGATGCCTCCACTGACAACATATATATGGTATATAGTGAAAAAATCAACAAAGGGCCATAATTCTGTTAAATTTGGTCGCAGCGAAAATTCCTTCCTTTACAACCATCTACACATTAAGGTTGTTCATCCCTGGAAGTTTAAGCAAAATCTGCCATCCGGTTTAATAGGAGTTGCGTTCACAAAATTTCTATATGGTATATAGTAAAAAATTCAACAAAGGGCCATAATTCTGTTAAATTTGGTCGCAGCAAAAATTCCTTCCTTAACTACCATCTATACATTAAGGTTGTTAATCCCTGGAAGTTTAAGCAAAATCTGCCATCCGGTTGAAGAGGAGTTGCGTTCACAAAATTTCTACATAGTATATTATATATATATAGAAGGGCCATAATTCTGTTAAATTTGGTCGCAGCGAAAATTCCTTCCTTTACTACCATCTACACATTAAGGTTGTTCATCCATAAAGTTTAAGCAAGATCTGCCATCCGGTTTAAGAGGAGTTGCGTTCACATAATTTCTATATGATATATAGTGAAAAAATCAACAAAGGGCCATAATTCTGTTAAATTTGGTCGCAGCGAAAATTCCTTCCTTTAATGTCATCTACACATTAAGGTTGTTCATCCCTGGAAGTTTAAGCAAAATCTGCCATCCGGTTTAAGAGGAGTTGCGTTCACAAGATTTCGGGACGTACGGACGGACGGACAGACAAGTGCAACGCTATATGCTAAATGGCCGTTTTCATTGAAAAGCCTCCTGTTACAAGTTCAAACTGCTATGAAACTATGAAAAATGCTTCAATACTGATGAAAGCCGTAGACAGAATCACAAACTTATTTTGTTTTACAAAATGAAAAACGGTCTCACACCAGATTATTTATCGTCCATAGTTCCACCATCAGTTGGAGAAACGTCTATTTACAATTTACGAAATGCTTCTGACATGCAAACAATACGTACAAGAACTTCTCTTTACTATAATGCATTTCTACCATCTACTTTGAGAGATTGGAACTTACTATCAACAGAGGTACAAAACTCAATATCTTTGTCCTCTTTCAAAACGCAACTTAAAGGTAATATAAAAAAATGCCCCAAATACTACTACATAGGTAAAAGAAAATGGCAAGTCATGCATACACGGCTCCGAACAGAATGTAGCTCTTTAAACCATCACTTATTCAGAAAAAATATGTCCCCCTCACCAAATTGTCAATGTGGTCTCCTGGAAAGTAACCACCACTTCTTCTTTGAGTGTCACCTCTATAATGATATCAGACTCAGACTATTTGATGCTGTTTCTAATATCTGTACTATAACACTTCATACCTTACTAAACGGAGACCAGAATCTTAGCCATGACATTAATTCTAAAATTGTTCAAGCAGTTCATGTATATATACGTGAAAGTAACCGATTTTCACGAGCAAATAATATGCCAACTTGACCTATCCGAATGAATCTTCTTTACCTTCTTTCTTATTTTTTTTTCAATTATTTATATTCTTTAAAAAAAGATTTCTTGAACAATAGCTAAAATCTTCGATTTTTTTCGTTTCAAATATGTTAAAAACTAACTTCATTGTTTCAAACAATATTGCAAACACTGTCATAATTTAACTGCATTGTGCAAACAATATTGCAAACACTGTCATAA